TTTTAATGTCTGAATAAAAATATATGTTCACTTACTTATTCCCCAGATATTTCTGAGTGTCTTTAGATGCTAAGCACTTTGCTGGACACTAGATATAAACCATAATAACCATGGCATGTGTCCTCATGAAATTGACGTTTATGAGAAACAGTGGGAGCCTCTCTGGACTCTTTTAAAATTTATTCACTCAATGAGGCACTATTTGAAGAACTTTATTTTCATCAGCAAACAAAACCAACAGCTCTCTACCCTCATGGAACTTCTATCCTAGTAGAATAGAATAGGCAGACAGTAAACACGATAAATGTGCTAATCACGGGGTATATTCAAACCCCATAAGTGGTGTAGAGAAAATGCAAAAGCCAAGCAGGGTAAGGGGATCTGGAGTGCTGTTGGGAGGGTGGCGGGCAGGGGCAGTATGTAGTTTTAAGTAGGGTGATCAGCTATTGAGAAGACAGTTGAGCAAGCTTGGAAGAAGTGAAGGAGACCATCAGATATCTAGAGGAAGAACATTTCAAGCAGGAAGACCCACCATCACCAAGCCTTTAAGCTGCGACTATGCCTGATGTGTTTATGAAAAAAAAGAAAAGGACACAAGTGTAGAAGAGATTAATCTGCAGGTAAGAAAAATAGAAAATGAGACCAGGGAGGAAATGGGAGCAAGTCACATGAGACTTGCAGGCCATTGAGGAACTTGGGCTAGTACTCTGAGAAAAACAGGAAGCCATTGAGGGGTTTCTATCAGAGGAATGACATGGCTTTCCTGGCTTACCTTTTGATAAGATCCCTCTGCTTTCGTGTTAGAACAAATTGAAAAGGACAGGTGGAGAAGAAGGAAGACCTGTCAGGAAGCTACTAGAGTAACACAGGAGAACAATAATGGTGGCTCTGAAGAGGGAAGGGTAAGGGAGCTAGGGAGAAGGGTTGGTGAGGAGACAGTGTGTTTTGAAAGTGGAGCCAACAGAGTTGCTGAAAGATTGGGTTGTGGTATGAAAGGAAGAGAGGAGGTGAGGATGACCATGAGGTTTTCAGCCTTTTGGAAGGAAAAAGTTTTCATCACCTAAGATGGGAATAGTTGCAGGCATGTTTGAGGAAAAGGATCAGTTCAATTTGGGGCCTGCTGAGTTTGAGGTGTTCATGGAGTTAAGAGTAAGATCCAGGCTGGAGGTATAAATTTGGAAGTTATGTCAAATCAAAATTTTTATTGCTGGTGCAGCCAATATGGAAATTAGTATGGAGATTCCTTGGAAAACTGGGAATAGAACCACCATTGACCCAGCTATCCCTCTCCTCATCTATACCCAAAGGACTTAAAAACAGCATACTACAGGGAGATAGCCAAATCAATCTTTATAGCAGCACAATTCACAATAGCTAAACTATGGAACCAATCTAGATGCCCTTCAGTAGATAAATGGATTTTAAAAAGTGGCATATATACACAATGGAATATAACTCAGCAATAAAAGAGAAAAAAATCATGGCATTTGCAGGTAAATGGATGGAGTTGGAGAAGATAATGCTAAGTGAAGTTAGCCAATCCCAAAAAAGCCAAATGCCAAATGTTTTCTCTGATATAAGGAGACTGATTCATAGTGGGATAGGGAGAGGGAGCCTTGGAAGAATAGACAAACTGTAGATAGGCCAAAGAAGTGGAAAGGGAAGGGAGGGGGCAGGGGGTTAGCTATGATGTGGAATGTGATGGACATCATTATCCAAAGTTCATGTATGAAAACATAAATTGGTGTGAATATACTTTTATACAACCAGAGATATGAAAAATTGGGCTCTATATGTGTAATATGAATTGTAATGCATTCCACTGTCATTTATTTTTAAAAAATCAATAAAATAAAAAAATTCATATTATTAAATATGCAGATATATTATTTTAATAATATAAAATTATGTGAAGCAAAAACTGAAGTTTCTCTTTCATTCCCTTACTCCAAACCCACTGCTCTGTCCATCAGTATCACTGTTAAGGAGCTATTATGTGTTATGAACCTAAAAAGTTGTCTGAAGAATGTTCAATCTATCATATTAGAGAACTAGAGTCAATAAGTGTTTTATTCATTTTCACATGCATTTCACTGCATAAGAAAACATGTAAAGGCATCCATGTTTATGCAGAAAATTTTTATGTACCTATGTCTTCCCTTTACCCACACAATGATATAATTTCTATCACCATCTACCGTTGGTGGCAAAGTAGAATGTCACAGCTATTTTACACAATGTATTTAGTTTACAAGCTTCTTCTGTGAAATTGAATTTATATGTAATCTGTTCTATGTTGTAATATTTTTTCTTTAGCAATTTGGGATGTATTTGAGCCAAGCAGTACCATCCATTTAAGAAATGTCATTGATTATAGAGTACAGGATACACTTTCAGCTAGTAATAACTCTCTAGGCTCTAAGCTTTTATCACTAAAATAGAACAAAGTTTCCATAGCTTCCATTAGAAAAACATAACCTTCAGAATTTGAACTAATGCATTGCTGTTTTGTTGAGTTGGCAGTTACTCTATGCAAGAAAAGCAATGATGACTCCTCAAATATCCAGTCTTTTATGGGTTTAGAGCTGAAGCTATAAAACTCAATAATTCTTCTAGTCCTAGGGGTTTGCTATTTCTCCCCTGAAATCAAAGAGAGAATATTAATTGCAGAAGTGTTCTACCCTGTTTGGTTTGATATGGGGCAGAATTCTATATCCAACAACATGTATCAGAAACCTCCATACATCTGGGGTGCCACATGACTTATCCCAACTAGCTGCTTGTGATGTGGTTGTTAAAAAAATATGCATCATGGCAGTCAGTAAACAGAAAAACCCAAGAAATCACATAACCTGATGCTTGCTGTCAAGAGAAAATCTTGGTATCATTATTCCACAGAGCTTTGAGATTGCCTAAGGGTTTATCATGTAATTTGCTGTTAACTATAGAGATAAAATATTTTCCACAAAAGTCTAGAAGGATGAACCTTAGGCAAAATGATAACACCCCTCTATAGTGGCATGAGAGAGTATCATTCTGTTTTTTATATGTTGCTTTACTTTTTACTTTTTATAATGAGGTTACATTTAGAATCTTGAAGAAAAGGTCATTTTAAAGTTTTCTTCAAAAGTTACATAAGATAAACTGCAATTTGATGTGTTGTTAGATATTTTGAAAAGATCTATAGTGGCTTGCCTCCTCTAAGGAGTTAATTTCTAAATGGCATAATTCCATATCTGTTAGAAATAGCCACAAGAGTCAAAGCTCAACAATGGGAGTTTGTCCATTCAGTTTAATTATTATTGACTAATTTGCATTCAGAATGTTCTTTTCAACCATTAATTAGTCATTCCAGAAAAACAACCTGATAGTAGAAATGAACTTAATTATGTTCATTTAAAAATGAGATTGACAACAGTGGCTTATGGCGCCTCACAGAGGAGGCGGTCCGGGGCTACCACACATCCAATAGGGGATGCAGGAGAAGGAAATATCTTACAGAATACTTCCAACATTGGAACTGGAATTTTACAAAATACTTCCAGCTATTTTGTAATCACTGAAGCTTACATTTGCTCAAAGTCCCCAATATTGATCAGTCTTAAAAGCCTTTGTAAATGTAACATCAGATCCATCCAGATCCATACTTTTCATGGCAACCCAAATAGAGGATGTGCAGCACTGTGTATATACTTTCAAAAATTCCCCCAAATGTACTAACAGAAGGAATATAGTGAGGATGTGATGATAAATAGCAAATACATATTGAATATCCATTATTTATAGGCCTCATACTGAAACCATAAACAGAGATGGGGCAAGAAATCAGACCCCTACTACTCTGTCATTGATCTAATGTACTTACAGTTTGACAAAGAAACCAGCCAAATGCATATAAAACTTAGGAGTAGAAAAATAATCATATGTATTCTTGACTTTAAAACCAACATTTTACAATAAAATTTAAAAAAAAACAACCAACAATAAAAATTTAAAAAAAAAACAACATTTTATTCCAAATCTTTCTCCATGACAATAGATGTTATTTTAAAGTCATTTTCTTTTCACTTATGTGCAATGATTGGTAAACACTACTTTAGAAAATTGAAAAGGTCTCAGGAATTGGCCCTAAAATTAATTAATCTATTATTTAAAGAATGCTGCTGAACTGTCTCTTTTAAGAAGGAAAATAGAGGCTGGGCCTGTAATCCCAATAGCTTGGGAGGCTGAGGCAGGAAGATTGAGAGTTCAAAGCCAGCCTCAGCAACTTAGCGAGGCAATAAGCAACTCAGTGAGACTCTGACTCTAAATAAAATACAAAAAGGGGCTAGGGATATGGCTCAGTGATTAAACATCCCTGAGTTCAATCTCTGGTACCAAAAAAAGAAAAGAAGGAAGATAGGCATGTATAATCAATCTAGCAGAAAACATTTTGAATAATTTAAAATTTTCCTGGCTAACCATGGAAAGATAATAAGCATAATGAATCAGTGTGTTACTTGTTTCCATTACACTAAGCCATCACATGTCATAATTCTCTATGGTCTTTCAAGACACAGACACATTCTCATATTCTCTCTCTCTCTCTCTCTCTCTCTCTCTCTCTCTCTCTCTCTCTCTCTCTTTCTCTCTCTCTCTCATATACTTATTGCTTTTAATGGAGGAACATTCTCAATACCTCTCAAATTAGTGAAAATCCTGTTTATATTCTTGTCTTCCCCAGTTTATGGCTTCATAAGAATGTATTCTTCATTTCAAGTACAAAAAGACTGTTCTAATTCCCCTTTTGGTTGGTAGAATCTCTTCAGAACACTTTGGGGGAAATGGACCTTTCTTCCTTGATCCCAGGATGGAGTTGAAGTGAATCTAACAGACTTAAACAACCCAACATCCTTCACGTCACCCCAGACTTCTCATTCAAAGGAGTATTTTGGGCGGCAGGTGGAGTTATAATTATAGATAGAAAAAAAGCACCATCAGCAGCTGTCACTTCTGTTTGTTCCAGCTATCACTGTCATCAGTGGGCAAATTGGCATAAACAGGCCTCCACAAGTGGAAAAACATTTAACCCTTCTGCTTGTTACACTCTGGATCCTCTCAGTAGCCAGAAAACAGAAAGAAAATCTTACTGTCCATGATCGAAGGGTAAAACCAAGAGTGCAGCACCGACCTGAAGCATCTCTTCAGGCGGAGCCTGAAATTTGAAGATTTTCTTTCCTGTTGGAGACTCCAAATAAATAGGTTAGTGCACAGATCAACCTATGCATTTTAACTCTGATCTCTACTCTATGTGATCTTAGAGCCTAAATAGAAAGCTGAACTACTAAATGAAACATTTAAAACTACCATAGCTATGAGAACAAATTATGAAATGAGCTTAATGTTTTTTATGCTCCTTTTTCAATGTTGGCTATGTTCACTTTATACAAATAGACAAGGCAAAGATGGAAAAATGAAACCAGTTTTGTGGCATGAGTCCCATCCTTTCGTAATGCCGCGTACTTAGCCAAAGACCCTGGTTCCTTTATTAAAATCAGTAATGTTGGAAATATTTGTAATTTTTTTAAAGTGCTGTGTCATTTATAGAGAAAATGGGTGAATTAGAGTTGTTTTCCCACGACTAGATAAAGACAAAATTTCCTTGTTTATGTTGAAATATACAATGCAGCTTGCTTTATATGATAAACTGTTACAGAATTTGTGTGTGTGTGTGTGTGTGTGTGTGTGTGTGTCTACTATACTTCTACCTGAATGCTCTATGATGTCAGTCTAAGAAGCTCTGTAATATCCTCCTCATAGATTTTCCTAAGAAAGCCAAGATTTCAGAGAAATTTCATTTTATCTGCAGGGGATCCATTTAGCCAGTAGTTCAGCAGGATTTTCAAAGATTAGCTTTTGACTATCTATCTCAAACCCTAAATATTTACCAGCTCAGTGATAAGTGTTTGAATGCCAAAGAACTCGATGAAAACTAGGCTTTGAAGCCCTATTTTCATCCAATCCACATCCATGCAACAGATCCAGGTAGAAAGAATTCCATAATAGCCTCCTTCTTTTCAGCTCCAAACAGAAATTCAACCATCCTTAAGCATTTTGTGAGAATTTTCATGGGGAAAATGCATTCTCTTTTTTTTTAAATTTGTTTTTTAGTTGTAGGTGGACACAATAACCTTTACTTTATTTTTATGTGGTACTGAGGATCGAGCCCTGTGCCTCACTTGTGCTAGGTGAGCGCTCTACCACTGAGCCACAACCTCAACCGAAAAATGCATTCTTCTTAATATTACGGTTGCCCAAAATTTGGACTACCTATGAAGTAAGCAGAGTGCTATGCACTGAAAACACCACCAGAGAGATACTGACTTGCAAATAAAGCCACCAAATTGACCCATCAATTAAGTTCCCATGAAGGCCTTGCTTCTTTTCAAAAATATATCCTGATTTCTAGGAGAGCCATAACGTCCCTGTACAAAGTTTAAGGTGAAATAAGTAGCTCTTTACATACTTTACCAGATAAAGCCCAAACAATAAGTTTGGCCACTAGTTTTGAAAATGTCAGTTAATTTAGCATATCAATACCCTAAATCCTCCTATGGATTAGGAAACTATGTTGGTAATTTTACAACATATCTCATATGCCATATTTATTGAGCAATAGCTATATAGTCTGAAAATAATATTTAGAAAGGCAATTTAAAAATTTTCTAACATTACTCTTCCCAGAGACTCCTTTCCTCCCCTTCTCCTCTAAAAGACCTATCTCTGAGCTGTTGTTTATCCCCAAGTTTCAAATTGTACAAACTAAGAAAGGTGGAGGGGGGGAAAAAAAGGATATGACTGGCTGGCTACTGGCTTGAGTTTCCTTTGATACACAGATTTATGCCTAATCTTAAACTTAACTTTTCACTTGTCTTTTGTCTTCTTGCTCTTCTAGAAAAAAAGCTATCCAAGATGACTGTCACTTACTCCAGTAAAGTAGCAAATGCGACCTTTTTTGGATTTCATAGGTTACTTCTCAAGTGGAGAGGCAGCATCTACAAACTCCTATACAGGGAATTTATTGTTTTTGCTGTTCTTTACACAGCAATAAGTTTGGTGTACAGGTACTTTGTCTTGCATGTCTCCTTATGGCCATCAAATATTATGTAAGAATACAGTCTCAAAAATCCAAACCCTTTAATTGCAGCTGACTTTTGCATTATGTAACCTCTTCCTTTGCATGAACATCTTTGTTGTCTGCTCCACAGGAAAGGGTATTTTAATCCAATACCTAACCATTTTTTAGGATGTTAAACAAACTGTAGTTGTCAGGGTCAAGGGGCTCCCATTCCAGCCCGACATTAATTGGTCATGATGTGATGTGGTATTAGTTGCACTTCAAGAGTATTATTATAGACATAAACTGGAAGATTTATACTTAAATCCTTACTATGTGATGATTTTGAATAGGCAAAGTCCACAGAGGTATAATTATGTATGCTTCTCAATGATGTCATTCATAGTTTGACGGTGTGATTTGACAGCTTGCTGCAGTTCCATATGTAATTAACATGTCTGTGATTGTGCATATCAGGCAACTTTCCTTCCTTTTGCCTGGAAAGATGAGATCTTAACCAGGATCGTGCCCTTCAATCTTACCAGTGCCCCAACTAAAGAATTAAGGCCTAGACACTAATTTATCTTCTTTTAAAAAAAATGTAGTTGTAGATGGACATCAGGCCTTTATTTTATTTTTTTATGTGGTGATAAGGATTGAACTCAGTGCCTCACACTATGCTAGGCAAGCGCTCTGCCACTGAGCTACAGCCCCTCCCCTAATTTGTCTTCTTTATACCTTCTGATTTCAGGGCATGTTATGTTCACAAAAGGAGGTATTTATTCTTTGTAACATCACAACCTATGTCTGTCATATTGATAGAAAATTTGAACAATGTCATGTCTAAATACTTTTATGACTAAAAATTATAGCATTAATAAAATTTTATCAGAATGATAAGGGGAAGCTTTATGAGTCTTTTTAAATTAAAAATTGAATGTATACCTTTCTTCTCTGGAGGAAGCTAAAACTTGAAATGAGAAAGCTAAAGATTTTTGAGGCTGTATTTCCACCTTTTCCATATACATCAGTCTATTTTTCCTCTGCATACAGATAGACAAATTTGTGTATCATTGCTCTTATCTACATTCTTCCTTACAGCAATAAGACTCCATTTGGAGAAGAGGATATTAATTTATCTGGTTGACTATTATAAAAAGTAAAATGTGAAGAGCTATTTTGCTGTGTATCAAAACTACCATTCCAAGCAGGTGTACATATTTATGTACATGTTGGCAGAATATCTTTAGAGGGAAAGTCTTACTAAAAACCCCTAATAATTTTTTCAGATATGTTTTACATGATACTATTTTGACAATTTATTTATGTCATTTAAGCCTTCAGAATATGAAATGGTGGAAGACACAATGATGTTCCAAGATAATTATCTCATTAGTTTATTTTTACTAATGTGAGTTTATTGCTGCTGCTGCTGCTGCTTAGAATAGAAAAGTCCTTAGAACAGTTGCAATGTCACCAGAAATGTTCATTGGGCCTCAGCTTCTCCCCCATAGCATACCTATCCCCCTCAAAATTGTATGCATATATTTTTTCCAAAGGCCAAAGAGCATTTACATTCATTAACCATTAGTTCAATGATTACCCTTCATTTTTTAAAGTTCAACTGTAAAAGATTGTTAAAGAAGATTGTTTTATCTTAATCAAAAGTTTACCAAGAACTATAGGATGAGTTTGTCAAGAAAATCAAACATATCTGTAGAAAAATGTAAACATAGTTTCGTTTTCATGTCTACTAATGACTTTCAGTTTTTTTATGAATCCTGTTATAAGCAAATAGTTACACTTGACAAAAATTATAAGGAAGAACCAGGATTCATTGATTTGATTTTACCACTTCTTATTGTCTGAGAAAATTGGCAAAATAATCTCTATAGTATTTTCTAGCTATTTAAATTTTCTATATGACCATTATAATAAATATTTTTCTTTGGCCAGTTAGCTGTAATACCAATTATTTTAAGTATGAGGCCATATGTTAAAAACTTATTTATTTATATAATATTTTTAATTCTTATGACATCCCTGATATGTAGTATTATTATCCCCTTTTACAAATGAGAAAACTAAAAAAACTTAAAAACATGTTCAAAGTCCAAATCTATAAATGGCAGACCTGGGATTAAAACTGGGTTTTGTCTGACTCTAAGATCCATACTCTCCATATTTAAATACTCTTTGACCACTTCTACTTACATATTGGAAAATCATCTGATTGTGACTTGTCATCAGTCACAACCAGTAACTGATAGGACTGTCCAACCAGTAAAAATGCCTCTCTTGTCAGCTTCACCTGACTTTAGTAATTCTGTCACCTCCTCTAAAGCCAGGACAGGAACTCCAAGCCCATCTCAAACATTTCTTCATCAGTAACAGCTTCTATCAGTGTTCCACCTGCAATCTGATTGGTTTCTCACTGTTACTTCAAAACCCCTCTGCTTTCTCTTCTACTCGCCCAAAGGGGACTTTGACGGTTGTTATAATAGATTTTTCCTGGGAGTCCTTTGTCCTTTGGAACAGCTGCATTCACTGATTTATGCAAATTCACCATGTGTGTGGCTTCTCTTTCTGTATTTTGATTATTATTATTAACCTGCCTTTGGACATTTCTTCTGACTCTGAATCCCCTCCCTGCAGCATAAATATTAATAATGGTTTCATTAGATGAAATTATGTTAACAATACCAGAAAATGAGTTTGGCCAGGTTGGGTCAGATATATAATAGCAAGGTTAAGACATTGACTAAATGTAATAATAAAAGTTTTCACCTCTGATTGTTAAATCTGTTTTGTTTATATTTCAAATAATTATGGGCTTTAAAATAAACAAATTTCAGATCCCTTGAATTACAATATATATAATGCAAAATGTGCTAAGTAGCATATTCAGGAGAAAGTAAGGTCAAGATATCAAATGTTATTACTTAATAATGATTTAACAGCTAATCCATTTAATCAATGTTCTCTTTTTTAAGTATTCCTGATGAATAATTGAAAGAAGGGCTATTTTATAATGTACCTTGCTCCAAGTCCAGTGAGCCAATTATATAAAACTTTAAAAATATAAAATTTTAAAAATAAAATGGTTAATAAATACCACAATTTAATGGACAATAATGTTTATGTACTAAAAACTTTAGTACATGAAACATTAAGCAATTAAAAAGCTTTTGAGCATATCAGCTTAAGGAAAAGGAAAAAGTTACTGATCCTTAAAAAAAATGAGAATATTTGTGCTTAATTGTTTGCACTTAATGTCACTTGCAAAGCAGGTGCAGAAGTATAATATCATAAAGGGCTGTGCATTTTATTTTTGCTCCAGATTGTTACTTACAGGAGCCCAAAAACGTTACTTTGAAAAATTATCAATTTACTGTGACAGATATGCTGAACAAATTCCAGTAACCTTTGTGCTTGGTAAGTATAGGTCACACGCAGAATGCAGCCACACAACTGTCTCCATTAGGATGACACGGATGACTCTGCATGAGAGTGTTTCCAAGCTGAGAGGCATGCCTGAAAAGCCAATGCTTGCACTAGAACCAGAATCATCCATAAAGTTTGCCTTTCAGGGCTGCTTTCGCTAAATTAACACCAAGCAAGTTTGAGGTAATAATTTGCTATTGTAAGCCTTCCCTTCACTAACTCTCCATTTTTGTGATCAGTATTATAGATCTAATACCCACTTACTGGGTGCCTGACATTACCAGGCACAAGTGACATCTTTTTCTGGAGGTCAAAATCTTAAGGTTTAGATAACTACATATTTTTGTATTCCCAACCCCTAAAAAGGCTAAAATTCTGTAAAAGCATCAGTGTCACCAATATGTCTGCTGCTAAGAAATTGCTTTATTATTTCCTCTTGTTCTACAGGGTTTTATGTTACTTTAGTAGTGAACCGATGGTGGAACCAGTTTGTGAATCTGCCCTGGCCTGACAGGCTGATGTTCCTCATCTCCAGCAGTGTCCACGGAAGTGACCAGCATGGACGCCTTCTCAGAAGGACACTGATGCGTTATGTAAATCTCACATCCCTGCTCATCTTCCGTGCTGTGAGCACGGCTGTATACAAAAGGTTTCCAACAATGGACCACGTAGTTGAAGCAGGTATTGTGAATGGCTTAACCTTCCTCAGTACATCTCAACTGAGATAGGGTCCTCCAAAACTCTGGGAAAATCTCTTTTTCTTTCACTCAGGAAACATTCATTGTTTATCTATTTTATACCAGAAGCAATTTTTTTTTAATTTATTTATTTTTATTTCTTACATACATGACAATAGTGGAATTCATTGCAATCATAATTATCCATTCATAGCAATCTTAAGAAGCAAAGATGAATGAGACATAGGCCCTGCCCTCGAGAACTTTACTTGGGAGGGGGAGGGGAGGAGGCTGCTTTAAAATAAATTTAAAATAAATGTAACAATCATCAATTTATTAAAAAAAAAAACCTGTAATGCTACCATACAATTTTCCAGTACTTTATAGCTTATTTCCTTTTATAGCTATTCATTTGGACCTCTAGAAAACAGATTTGGAGAGATTATCAACTGTCCTGAATTGCACAGCTGAGTAGTGGAAGAGCCAGAATTAAAATTCAGGCCGGAAGTCTAGTTAATACTTTTCCCGAAACATAAGTAGATTCTGGCAAGAATCAGCAATGTGGGTTTTCATCTAAGCAGATCCTAAGAAATGGCAGTGAAAGGCTGTTTCAGTGTAGATCTGTTTTCTCCTATGCTTCAAAGTAGATACAGTTATTCTATCTGGGATCCTGGATACAGTATGCTGAGAACAAATTATGTTTGAGGGATGATTCTCTTTGGCGTGTAAATATTTAGCAAAGGCTCCGTTAAATCAGCCTTCAATAGGGTGAGGATTAAATTAGATAATTCTTGGCATATACAGACAATATAAGAACCATGAGATGATTGATACATTGAGTGTGGTCTCAAATTAGATTGCAATCTCCAGTTTTATTTTCTGAAATGTCCTTGAAAATAGATTTTTTGGATGAAGAATAATATTTGCATTGGCTTGTATTGTTTTGTCTTCTTTTTAAAAAAACAATTAAAATGGGCAAAATACTTTATTTTTTAATATGTATTTTTTTGTTGTAGGTGGACACAATACCTTTATTTTATTTTTTGTGTGGTGCCGAGTGCCCTCAACCTGTGCCAGGCAAGCACTCTACCATTGAGCCACAGCCCCAGCTCATTTTGTCTTTTTTGATGGGCAACATAAGTAGTGACCAAGATCATAGTATCAGTGTTGGAATCTTGCTAGCTATATGACCTTATGTGAGTTATATAACTTACCTGTGCCTCAGTTTTCTCACCTATAAAATGGGCTTATAGTAACTTATAATAGCACCTACCTTAAGTACCATATAGGCTAATTGTGAAAATTAAATAACTTAATATTTGCAGAGTGTTCAGAACAAAGTCTGTCATTTTATAAGTGCTGCATTTCTTGTTACTTTACTGAAATCATCTAAAACAATAGCACCTTTGTCATTTGTGGATATGACATCCTGAGTCTTCTTGATCCACTTTGACCAGAAGGTTGTGAAAGTCAAGATGGAAGTAAAGAAGGAGGGGTGTAAATGATGTTTTTAGGAATATAGAGTGAGATGCAAGAAAGTCACAAGGTGCAAGGAGTTAATGAAGGATTTAAGTGTAGGGATGAATGGCCTGGCAAATGCATAGGTATATCATAATGTATGACTAGAAGGAACTTTTAAAAAGTTAGTTCCCCCTGTCCTCCACATTTAAAGTAGAATACTGCTTCAGAATGATCAAGTTAAAAATGCTATTTGACAACTTAATTTTTTATCTTAATACCTAAAGAATCAAATATGTTAAGAATTACATATGGGGTTGGGGTGGTAGATCAGTGGTTGAGTGCTTGCCTCACATGCATGAGGCACTGAGTTTGATCCTCAGCACCACATAAAAAAATAAAATAAAATATATGTGTCCATCTATAACTAAAAAAAAAATTTTTTTTAATTACATATGGTCTTGGTCAGGTGATGCACACCTGTAACCCCGGCAATTTGGGAGACTGAGATAAGAGGATCACAAGTTTGAGGCCAGCCTTGGCAACTTAGTGAAACTGTGTTCAAATTAAAAAAAAAAAAATTTAAAGAACTGTAGTACCTCAGTGGTAGAGCACTTACCTAGCCTGTGCAAGGTCTCGGGTTCAACTCCCCCAATACTGGATTTAAAAAAAATCACCTTTAAAGAAAGACCTAAAGACAAATAAGAAAAGTCTAACCCATCCAAATTGATAAGTGTACTTGGATGAATAAAGGTGATATTTCTCTAGTTTGGACGCATCTTTGGAACGAAGAGAGTATATTCTGACAGGAATCAGATACTGGGCCCATTTCTCAAAGCAAATCTTAACCTTTTAGTGTCACCTTCATATACAAAGCACCTCATGAAACCAAGACGGCTGGCAATGGAAAAGCTCTGGGGTCTAGTCAGACATGAACTCAGAAGGCTGAGCTGTGCCCTGGTCTGAGGGGCAAGTAGATAAAGGGCAGCAATTAGATAATGACATAATTTCACTTCCTTTTGGTGTATTTTTTTATAATAACAGGGTCTACTCCTTTTCAAATGTGGATAGATGTCTGCACAGACTTGTATCCAGGCTTTTTCTCTTTTGAGGGTGCCTGGAATATTGGAATACTTCTTTCTTCCCAACTACAGAAACCCAGACTATTCCAAGGAATCTGGAAGTGAGTCATTCACTCCTTGATATACATTTTTTCCTTGATGTATATTTAAATTCATGTGTCTCAAGATTTAATCCTCTGACCCACAGACCCCTGCATCTTGACTAACCAGAGTTATTTATTTAAAATACATTCTTCTGGACCCCACTTCAGATCTGCTGGGTCAGAACTATTGGATGTAGAACCTAAATACCTACATTTAAATGTACTTCCACTTAGGTTAGAGAAGTACTGAATCTTTTCTGGGATGCTTATTTTTTAAATATTTTTATTATAAATAAAAATTATAAATTTTAATTATTTATAATTTTATTTTATTTGTTTATATTTTATGTGGTGCTGAGGATCAAACCCAGTGCCTCACACATGTTAGGCAAGCACTCTACTACTGAGCCACAACTCCAGCCCCTGGGATGCTTATGTTTAAAACTCTTTCTCACTCCTTGTGCAAGACTTCAGCTTTTTATAGAAAAAAAAAACTCATTTCTAATGGCAAAGTAGCGACAATTAAGAAAGATTTAAGATTTTAACCTGGCTAGTGTCTCCAGAGTTATAAAAAGGGGATTTGGGGGCAGCAACCTGGTCAGAGGATTTGATTTAGAGATGGACTGACTGAAGGAAGAAGAGAATTGAGGGAGATGATATGATGCCAAAGCTTTTCCAAGTGCCCTTTGAGACCATCACTAATGACCTCTATAAGAAGCTTCTACTGCTATAACTCCTAAGTGTTTTCTCAAAAACCTGAAAAAGGGTACAGGGCATAGCTTGTGCCCACAGGAATACAAGGCTTTTGTGTTAGGGAGCAGGGCAAATGTTCCAAGCCACTACTCTCTAAGCCAGGAGAGACACTTCAGAAGCCAGGTCCCTCCAAGCTGCTCCAGGGCCTGCACCCTCTGCCCATGACAACGCTGACTCACTAAACTTGCTGCTCCTTCCCCTGCAGAGAGGCTGACTCAGAGGCTGCACATGGAGTCTATTCCAAGTTCTCCCAACTGGGCACATGCCTCTGCCACTCCCTGACTGCCCTTTGCCTGTGCCAAGGTTTCTGGGAAGAATAGGAAGTTCAGGGATGGCGGAAAATGTTTGGCAGATGGCCTGACTCCAGAGCCAGGGCACCTGCTCCTGCCTGAGGGCAGAGAGGATTGGCAAATACACTACCAGGGGCCCAGTAGGGTGTGGCAAAAGAGGAGTCAATGCTGGGAGCACAAAAATCCTCATCAGTTGACTCCCCTATATAAACTCACATATCAGGAAAAATATGTGTTCTCAAACTTTGGTGTGCATTACATATTTTAAAAATCAATATTGTTAAAATCAATATTTTTAAACATGTACATCCTAAGGTGCCACCCCCAAAGATTCTCAAGTGGAATCCAGGAATTGGTATTTCTGACAAACTCCTTGGGGCTGAGATAGGTGGTCCCTTGATCACACTCTGAGAAACAATGGACCCTAAAGCAATCCAAGTTTCCCTTCAACCTCTTCTCCATCTTACTTCAGGAAAGGTTCTTGCCTACATAGACTCAATGCTAGCCAGGAGGAAGTAAATAAGAGGGCCAGGAGAATGAGTATTAGCAGCTTCTTTTCGATCATCTGGCAGTTCCTTGATTGGAGCTAGAGAACCCAGCCACTTACCTGTTAGTCCCCAAACTTTCCTTGCTTTTAAGTTGGACAGTCAAATTATATTTATTCTGGCAAGTAAAAAGGCCACAACACATGCTGCCAGGAAAATACGATTTACCTATAGGTGAAATTTTACAGGTTAAATTTCTCAAATGAAAAAATGAAACTTTAAAATTTTTGCTTATATAAAAGAAATGTAACAACTGAATTCAAAATAATGTCTATTATGCTGAAAAGTCCCTGAACTAATATGTTACCAATTATTTATCAGAGGGACTACAAGATAGTCTCTGTTATTTTATCTATTGTTTACAAACCTGTTCTGGAAAATTCTAACTATTCCGATCACCTGCCTTGGAAAATGTCACTCATTCCAAGTCAAGTGCACAATTCCAGACTTCTGCTAATTCAAGTGATGACCTTAGTTGAGTGCATGAATCAAACCAAAACATTTTATCTAGTATTGCACAGGCATAAGGAAAATAAAATAATTCTCTTCAGAATTACTCACCAGAAGCACAAAGATGGATAATAGGAAATGTATACATTCCCCTAAAAGAAACATTAGCAAAACTGATGTTAAATCTATCATGCATTTGCTCATTCAACAAAACTTTACTGAATGTATACTGTATGTCAGGCACCATACTGAGCACTGGGAATACAGGCATAAACAAGAACAGGTGTGGTCCCTGTCTACAAGTTCAATAAAAACACCATAAATCTTGTCTAATAATATTAAT